GGCCGGCTGCCCGGCAGAGGGTGCCGGGAGCGGAAAGGCATCGGGTGCGGACGGGCGCCGACGCTCCGCAGGTGTGGCGGTGGCGGGGAGCCGGAGGCGTCCGGGTTCCGGGCGAGCACGACCGCCTGTCCGGAGCGGAAGGAGCCGGAACAGAACTTCTGCCCGCGGAAGAAAACAGCGTCCGCGGGGGCCCTGGCCTCTGGCGTTTTGGGGTGCGGGCTACCTAGGCTGCAGCTCGTTTGCGGTGTGTAAGATCGGGGTTGCACATGCAAAGCGGCGGTCTGTGCAGCGCTCCGACGGAGAACCATTCCAAGGGTGGGAGTGAGTCCTGCAGGCCCAGGTGGCGCTTCGGTGTGCTTCCCGCGCAGAGGTTCTCCTGAAATGCCTAGTGCGTTCTCAAGCCAGTGTATGTCATGACAAATGGAGTTCGGAGAGAAAGTAGTGTAACTGAAGACAGCTTTTATCCAAGCAAGGGTAAAGTACCGGGGAAAATGAGTGTTACACACGTGTAAGACTGGAATTCCAGGACAGCGGTGGTGCGCTCATGGCATGCGTGTTGTGTTTTCTAAACTAAAACCTCAGTGTTCAGGTTTAATTGCAGTGTTGGCTCTTGGCAGTAAGCAAGTGGGTTTGGGGTTGCAGCTGGGGACTCATCTCTAACAGGCTCGCCATCGCTGCCCTGGACCTGCGGTGGAAGCGTAAGACAAACACTGCTGACAGCTTCGTCAGCACTGTATTTTTTAATGAATATAAGGATTAGCATTCCTATTATGTCACTGTCCTACCTAAATCCTCTCTCCAAATAGATCCTGGTGATAACAGTTGTCAACCTTGATATTTTAATGTTGTCAGTCCTGGTGTTCTTTCCATTCGTCTTCAGTTGCCGCAGTGACTGTCAGGTGATAGACACTCTGACCTCCTTTCCCAGATCAGTAACACAAAGCTTAAAGGACCAAATGTCACAGACGACACTGGGGTGCTAACCTACAGGTTGGGGACCACTGTGGAAGAAGATGGCCAAACACCCAGCTACAAACAAGCAGGGCACAGAGGCCCGTAAGACTTTATTTGAGAAATGTCACGTAACAAGGTCAGCAGCAACCTCAAAGCTCAAGCTCAAGCCTTCAAACTCAGTTTTGCAGAAGTTTCTATAAAGGCCTTAATCCAAAGCCTTAAAGTATATGGGAAGTCTATACAGTGGTAAAGTTCAGTATTTCTTCCAACACTGGTACATGGATTGCAAAATCCACAGGGCTGAAAACACCACTGACACAATGAAAACCGAACAGCTTCCGATTCCTGAGTGCGGTAGCAGGAGGTTAAAGGGATCTTTTGCATGCCTGTTAACAGCCTACAGCTTAGCTGTCAAGTGTTCAATGCAGACAAACAACCAGACTGAAACTTGGCCAGTGAGTTACATATACAACAAATCAATTGAACGTAGCAGAGTTTGTCAGACTCATGAATGATTAAATACAGTCTACACTTCCACGGGGTCGATGTTCACAGGTCTCAACTGGAGAACACTTGAGTGTAAGAATATTCATGACCTTTGCTTCACTCGGTGAGGAAACATCATTCAGATGTGACAGGTAAAAATCTTGAAAATGTCAACAAGCTGCTCAGAGAACTATAAGGAACAGTGTTCACCATACAGAGATACTGTACGCTGGCAGGGAGCATTAGGGCTGGAAAAAGGCACCTGAAGGATGGGCATGAGGCTGGCACCAAAGAGCCGAGATGAATTTGAGGGGCACAGTCACACCAGGTCACGTGCCCCTTCTACACTAGGTGTGGTCTACGGACCGGCAGTGCTAGCATCTGCTGGGAGGTCATTAAAGGTACAGATTCTCAGTTCTCGTCCTAGACCTAGAGGAGGTAAACCGGACTCGGCTGAGGGTGTGGGGAGCACTGCTGCAGCTAACCACCTGCGGAGGCATTCTGTTTTTGCCTGCCCAGCCATCACTTCCTTCTTCCAGTACAGCCTCCAGACCCTACTGTGCGGAACTGTCCCTCTCCCCTCTCAGGCCCTCGGTGTGTCTCAGCTTGGCCCCTGGCCCAGGGGAAGGCATGTGTTCCAGGCCTGCTGGTGAGAAGACCGCATGGCCCAGCCACAGTGACTGGTTCAGCAAAAGTGTGTAACACACACCGAGCCAGTAAGAGTCAGACCTGGGACTTTCAAGAAATACCCGCTTCCTGAGTTTGCTGAGCTGAGTGGATGAAAATCTAGAACTTTGTCTTTCCACTCCGAGAATGAAGCCAAACAGGGAAAAGGAGCTGAAAAATGGAAGAGATCTTAATTCATTGTCTACTTGCTGCCACATCGAAATCCCTGCAATTTCAGCAACGCAAACGAGTAATGTCCTTGTTTCTTTGGCCATTTCAAACTGTGCATCTGCTACACGGGGCTGAGAGATGCTCATTCTCCACGTGTGAACTCATGACGTTCCTGTGTCCTGCCCTCCGGAAGGATCGCCCAAGGTCTGCCTCCTCCGCTAGGCCTTGCTGGATTGTCCCCCGACACACAGCACTGCTGTCTTCCCGTCCACCACCTCACTTCCACATCTGGGGGGCCGTGAGTTTCCACTTCTTCCTTCTGTTGTCACCGGTTTCACATCTGTCTCTTCCTCGCTTAGTTACACCCCACTCGGGCTTTAGGTGTCCGCTGAGACAAGTGAGGGGCTTTTGCTTAATGTTCTTACAGCACCACCCATCTTCCCATTGTGGCACTCACATCCGTACATACGTTTATTCCACATGGCACAGACTGGCGCCAGTGGGTAGTTGAACAGTAGACCCTGGGGTGACGCCACCTGAATTCCAAGTTTCTTAGCCTTCCCAGGCTTTAGTTTCCTTATCTATAAAGACAGAGTTCCTCTCAAAGTCTGACTTCATTACTCTCCGTAAAACTCAAAGAACATGCCAGCACATACTAACCATTATGTAAGTGAGAGCTATTATTGTTTTGCATGGTTTTTTAATGGGGTTATTTGATGTCTGTTACCTACCCCTCATCAGATATAAATGAAGAAGCAGATCTCTTCTTATTCCCCATGTTACACGTAAAGAATCAGATCACTGTCCATAGGAAGAGCTAGTAAACAGAATATTGAATATTTGGTCAGTTGTCTCTTTCCAAGTTGTCTGGAAGCTCCTGGTGGGACAGAACCTGGTCTTACACATTTTTTAAAAACCGCATTCCAGTCTCAAGCACTACGCCTGGCACACTAATTCTTTTCCTTTTTTCATCGCTGCCAAATAGGCTATTGCAATTCATTTGGTATGCAAATGCTAGTAAACATTGGCAGTCTGGTGAGAAAAAAAATATTTTGCTGGCTGTAGACTTGAGTTTGATTACCAAACTGGTTTCTGTGGCTATCTGAATTTTGTACAGAGCTTTACGACAACATTTTTCCTTAATCATGTTAAAGACATACTCTGTGCAAGAATCTCGATGATTCTAGGATAAAGCAAAGCAGTGCTAGCCCGTGTATTGCTGCATTTCTAACAGTGTTCACTGGAATTGTGTATGAGTGTCTACACAGTTCTTGTGGGCTACGAGCACAAGGTAACACTTGGGAGTGAGCATCACGGTAGACTCCTCTAGTGGAGAGACTACATCTACAAATCAATCTAAAATCATGTCTTATGGTTATATTTATGGGTAGTTAAGATTCCCTAAGCCTTTGGAACAATTGGCTTATTTTGCAAACTCAACTGAAAGGCCACCAAAGGATTTTTCAAACTAGCCTGAAACATGATTAGATTTGTACTTGGTAACACATTTTGATTAACTGAAAGAACAGATTAGTTGGCTACCCCTGGGAAAGGAGGAGGACAGCAGAAGCGCTCTCGGTGAGGCCGGTGAGAAATCCAAGAGAGTGCCACTCTTGGATTTAGGAACGTGGCGGTGGAAAGAGGGAAGCAGACAAATTGAAGACTGGCTGTTAGTGGCAGCCAGCGAATTTGTAGTTGACTGTGATAAGGGAGAAGAACAAGTCCAAGGTTTCTGAGTGGAATACAGAGTCATTTTTCCCCGATAGGGAATATGGAAAGAGGCTCAGGTGTAGGTGACTGCAGTGGCACCAGCTTCGTTCCGAAGTGTTGACTTTGAGCCAACTACAAAACACCCAAATATTTGATTAAACCCTTAACTGTACACATATGGGACTCAGAAGAAAGGTTTGCATCAGAGAAATAAATCTAAGCATACTTAATGTATAGAAGGTAATGGAGGGGCTGGGGATTTAGCTCAGCGGCACAGCGCCTGCCCGGCAAGCGCAAGGTCGTGAGTTCGATCCACAGTACCGGAAAAAAAAACAAACAGAAAAAGAAGGTAATGAAGGACATGGAATGATGGATGAAATCGCCCCGCGTGGGGGTGTACAGTGCAATCAGACAGGAGGAGCATGAGGAGCTCCAGCATGGAAGGACTGATCAGGTAGGATACGACAAACCAGTGAAAGTGGAGAGCACCCAGAGTGGTTGAAAAGAAGACAGGATGGCATGCAGCCTCGCCCAAGCCAGCGAGTGAAGACGCAGCAAGCAGTCACGCGTACCAAGTGCAGCTGAGAAGTACAGGACAATAATGGTAACGATGGTCATTTCCTGAGCAAGGCTTGAGATGCCCTTACTCCTTTCCATGGTTGTCTGAGGGCAGTGGTGCTAACTTCCCCATTTTTGAGGAGAGGAAGCTGAGGCTCGGAGAGTTTAAATAACATGGCCAAGAACCATGTAAGGCATCGCTACTGAAGAATCCTTTCAGTTCCCTGAAAGGCAGTTTGGGCAGAGTGCTTAGGACGGGCTACACATGGGAAAAGGAGGTGAGAGAGCCTGTAATGGTGTTTGGCTTTGAGGGAAAGAAGGCTGGGTAGTAGACAGTTGAGCAGCTCACAAGGATCTGCGGCCAGGTTTTCTGCCTACTCTCCCTTTCCTGCCTGTGCCCCTTTCTTCCGGCTCTGAAGTCCTGCACGTCACTCGCTTTCTGCTTCCCGACCTGCAGGCTCCCCTATTCCCAGCCCTTCTTGCTGTCTGAAGTCCACTTACTCCTCAAAGCTCCCTTCCACAGGACATCTTTCCAGTCTCTTCTTCAGTAAAAGTTCTATCAAAGATGATATTTTATGTTTCCTTACATACCTGAAATTCCCTAGCACGGTGCCAGGCCCCTACACAGGAGGTTCTCGGGTACTTAGCAGTTCATTATTTTACCTGAAATACCTGGCCCACTCGATCTGAATCATCTTACCATTTTATTTGCTTGGTTTTTCTCTCTTGAGGCCGGGTCTGCATTTTATAGGACTGATGGCCCTGGTGGGTGTGGTGAGGCGGGGCTTATGGGGGAAGTCCCTATCAGGAAATTGAAGCAAATGAGCTTCCCTAGAAATGAGACTTCCTTGAGGTTTGCACATAAATAAGGAGAGATCTTAGAAGCTGGAGGAGTGCATGAGTATCAGTGGGTTTGTCCACTTATTTGTTCCTTTATATTGAGATGATTAGTGTAGGGGACCCTGAGAGTGTTTGTCATCAAAGA